TTCCACAAACCCTAATCCCTAGGACAACAAATCTCTCTCTTCGCACAAGTTACGGGCTGCTCACAGCAGGACAGTTTGATTTAAACTTTCCCGCATTTGCATTGAGACAATTCCTTTCCATACGTTCATGCTGTGCTGGTTGTCATTGTATGAGATAGAGATCACGCTGGGTGCTGACAATACCCTTATAAAGATCCAATCTTGTTTTTCATTCTATCAAAGAACTATAGCTTTTCTCATAATTATTTTCAGCTGTACATCATTTACAAAACTTAAACTCTACAAATCTAACTCACAAGAGGTTGTTTACAATAGCAGTTACACAGTTGGTTTGTCTCAACTCCTGCAAAATTGAAAGAAAGAAAAAAAAGTCCTATCACCATATCTGGGAGAACTTATCTCACCACACCATGCTTCTCATCTGAGGTGTGAGACTGTCAGTGATGGAAGTAGTCGGAGAGGATCCAACTTCCACTTGGTGGGGTTGTAAACTTGGCAACACACCCGAGGAGGAAAAGAAAAGCCAGAAGCAGTGAGGAAGAGAAGGAAGAGCTTTGTTGAAGGCTCTGTGTGGATGATAGCTGCCGTATTATAAGCTCGATTCCTTGGGGAGTTGATGCTCCTAGTGATTGATGGGCGTGAGTGCTCATGCTCCCGTGAATATTGTTTTCATTTTACTTTCTATATGGTTTTTCTTGTAACTCTCACAAAAACATATGGTTCTAATAAAATAAAACTAGGTGAACATGGTTTTTCAACAATGGTTATACATATAGTTTGCACATTCATAATCCCACATGATTCTTTTAAAGCATAGTAGTGAAACTGAAACTGAAACTGAAACTAGCTATTAATATACATAACATAAGATTTTATGAAGCTTATTATGCAATTATAAATCGATTTAATTTTTACTGTAGATAGCACATGATTTGATTTCTAGAATGTTTACAAAAAAACTTTTAAAGACTTTTTAATAGTTTTAGCGAAGTAATATGCTTGGATATTAATGGGATATTTTTGCATTTAGAATTTATAAACTTTGTTAAACACCTTTATATTCTACCGTCAAAATTAATTGGTTTAAGCTTTTGTACATGATAGTGGTTTGGTTCAGTATGCTTTTGGAGGCACACCACCCACTACATTCCATGCTCCACCTGGAATTCCCACTCTAGTACAAATTTCTTGCCGAAGATCAAGAGAGCCCTAAGTAGGAATCCAAGAATCGGGAAGAATCTGGAGGGAGAAGGATGAAATTAATGTGCTTCATCTTAACCACCTTTAGATAGATTTGGAACTCACTGTTACTTGCCTTAGGTCTAATGTAGCTTCCACATCAAACCTTCCTCCTTGTACAAGTATTCTAATTCAAAGTATATCTCCTGGCACGTTTATTTATTTCAAATTTAATCCATATATATATGATTATATTTTTATTAAATAAAAAACTATATATAATAGTAAGTACTATTCAAATAAACAAGAAAACTAACCATTTGCAACAAATTTGTGGCTTTCTTCTAAAACTAAACTATATTTACACACATGGATTTACAACATGGTTTCAAGGTCCCTTGCTACAAGGATTAATGCAAGCACTTGGAAGATGGTAATGCTACAACTAAAGATACTTGTAGACCCTTAAAACTCAAAATATAAAGATTTAACTTGTAATAATATAAAATATAATAATTAATAATATGCCACATGTATCAACAATTGGTTTCTTTTAGAATTTTACATCTAAGGATATATTTAGAATATTCTTATATATCATTTTAGGATAGTGAATTTACATGATACTAGCAAGGAATCCAGCTTTACTAATAAATAGAAAATTTGTTGCATTGGTGACATGAATCCTAGAGAATTTCCTTGTATACAATATTTTTCATGTAAACATTATGGTTCTAAAGCACACCTTGCACATTGTTTGATGGATATTATCATTTATTTCTTTGATGTTCCTTTAGAAAGTGCAAGTGTGGCTGAAAATTAATCTTGGCAACTAGATACTTACATTTTGTAGTGTTTGTTTTCGAGATTTGCAAATTTTTATAAAGAATACAAACCTTATAGAAAATAATTTCCGTTTAAGTATGAATGGTATGTTTATGTTAGTTGGTTTTAAAGAGATTTTGGTAGGAGGACTTTTTTTTCCTTGCAACTATTATGTAGAATTTTAACTTCTATAATATTTGGTAGTGCTTTAGTTATAATTATTTTACAAAGGCATTTTTTGGTGTTGATATGTATAACAACATTATGATACTTTTGATTTTCTTGTGTAGAGGCATTTCAAATGGTGTTATTGAGTTTAAAAACTCAATAGGAAATACATTTCTACAATGTCTACTTTTATATATTATTCTTCTGCCAATCATTCTTGAAAGGACTTAATCATTCACTTATAGAGAGAGATCATTTAAAGTTGTGAGAATAACTTTTTGCAATAGATTCAGGTCATTAGACTATATATGTTTTCCAAACACATGATCTATTAGAGGTAATTTTATAGCTTCTTAGTTTAATCCTTGTAAGCCAGGTAAGTTATTATCTTTAAGCCTCACAAGCCATCTAAACCAACTTTACAAGTTTCTACCATATTAGTGAGGATTGCATATTGTTTTGGACAATTTATGTGCAACAAGCCTTTTTTAAAACACCATCTATCTAAAATCTCCCTCTATTACTAATGTGATGCCCCCAAAACCACCGCTCCTTCGATGTCCAGCTGCGACAAGAGAACCATGCAGCCGTTGGGCATTATCCTGGTGATCCGGCCGCTCCTCTTCTTGCACGGCCACTCAAACCGTGGACTTCCCCGAGCACAGCAGCTTAGTCACACCATCTGCCCAACTCTGAGCGGCTGGATCTTTGCGAGCATGGTTGGAACTCCAGTCCAGAGCATGTCGCAGCCAATGAACGTGGCTCTTCATCGTGTTGGATGCTGTGAATGATCCCGATACAGGACAGCCGACTGCCCAAGTAGTGGTGATCCTTGTTTGTCAACCTGTGAACCCACTCCCCACCAGATCCACCTCATCCGGGCTCCCTTCCCAGAGGTCCTGCGAGCTGCAAAACTTCACCCGGACCACGATCTCTTCCCTGTCAACTTTCACCACCATGCCCTTGGCGTTGTGCGGTGTGTAGCGCCAGCAGCCGCGCCTTGCCTACTTCTTCACTGTGACGTGATCTCTGGCTTGTAGCGGGTTCTTCGCAATTTTTTATGTCATGCATGACCCTTTCGACAGCTTTAAAAGCTTGAATGGGTATTATGTTTATCTCGTCCCATATAAGCAATTCAACTCTCCTTACGACCTTGGCAGGTGTTGAATTTTCTTGCAGATTCAAGGTGCATGTTTCTGTAATTGGTACCAATAGCTTAAATGTTGAGTGAGTTGTTTAGTCTATATAAGAAGAGTACTCACTATTCTGTCCATTTGACCTCTAAGACTTTCATGTCATAGCTATGACATACTTTATTAGTGTGTTAAAAGGGTATAGTTTCTTTGTGCCTTTGACTCCATCAACAAAGAATAAATTGTTTATTTCTTTTTGTTTTATATTGCATTCAAGACGTTGATAAATATGTGAAGTTGTTCTATATTTTCATTTTGGTTTCAGTAATTCAACTTCCTCAAGCATGCATAGCATACAACTTGTTTAGTTGTTGTTTCGTTGTCAGAAGTTTCTTGCCATGTTCTTGGAGTACTATCGACATTTCATGCAATCTATATTGCATTGCTCTTTCATAGTTGTTATGAATTTGGTCTTCACACATGCCTTGAATTTATCCCATAGCTTGTTAGATGATGTGAGCACTCATGCCTGTCAATTGTTAGGAGAAGGGCATCAAACCCTAAAGGACTTAATTGGATCTACCTTATATTGTGATAGCTCTTATCCACACAAAACTTTCAACAAACCTCAACCTTCTCTTTGCTTCTTCTGGCCTTTTTCTATGGACCCTCTCTAGCTACTTCCATCACTAACAATCTCATGCCTCATGGTGTGGTGAGAGAATTTCTCCCAACTATGGTGATAGGACTTTTTTCTGTCTTCCAATATTGCAAGAGTTGAGACAAACTAACTGTGTAATTGCTATTATAAACAACCTCTTTTGAGTGACATTTGTAAAGTGTAAGTTTTGTAAATGATGCAAAAGTGAAAATAATTATGAGAAAAGCTATAGTTCTTTGGTAGAATGAAAAACAAGACTAAGTACTATTGAGAAGTAGCTCCCAAACACTTTCCTAGCACTGCTGGGTGGAATTTATTGGATGTGTGCAGTGAAGCACTGGCTATAAGTGGCCTTGGAATTGTGGAGTGTTTTGACAGCTGTGACTGCTAGTGATTACTTGCATTTAAGCATAACACAGATGGAATATTAAAATAGATTTTTAAGGAATCTTAAGTCGTCCAAGTAAATTAGAGCAAGTCAAATTTGTTTTAGTAAAGCTTTTGCGGTCCATCCTCGGAGGTCAATAAGAGCTGGTTACAAAAATGCTGCCAGTGTCACCACGAATGCTACGACGAGTAGATCCTGGTGCGGTGCCACCTCAGTGTCTCGTCGACCATCTGAGAGCAAGGCTCCTTTAGCAGCTGCAGCAGCGGCTCAATCAGCCCTGCTCTTCCTCCTCCTCCTCATGGCAGGAGTTGCAGGAGTGGCAGCGATTCCTTTCGTGGGGCTCGTGTTGGTTATTCATGTCCTGCTGCTCCTGGTTGTCCGGTCTTGCCTCCTGTTGTCCCTTTCTTGTTTCCTGCTCGATCTTCCTTGTCACTCGTAGAAACATCTGTGGAAGGGTTCTCCTCTTCATTCCAGGCTTCCATTTTATCTCCCTTCCAAACTTCCACGCGATCGTCATCGTCCTCTTCGATCCCAAGCTTCGAGCGATTCTCAAAAATGGAACGCTCTCCATGCATCTTCTTGAGCTCCGAGAGCTCCTTCTCAGCTTCAGCCAGTAGCTTGTGCTCCTCCTCGGCGGTCATTGGGCTCAAGTCGCCTTCCCAAACTTCCACTCTCTCGTCTTCCTTCTCCTCTTTCTCTTCGCCTCGTCCAATGGTCGAACTTTCCCTTTGAGAAACTCTTCCAGCGAGGATTTTTTGGAAGAAGATTTCTCATGCTGCAAAGTTTCCTTTGCTCCCAGATTGGATGACAAATCTTTCTTCTTCTTCTCTAGCACAGCCATGCTGTATCCGGCAGTATACTCCTCTAGCAGAGGCAACGCAGCCGTCGTGTATGCAGCGAAATCGTCCTCCACATTCTTCTTCCTGGATTTGTTCTTGGATGCCAAAACAATAGCGCTAGACCCTGCGCGGCCAATCTCTCTGGCCCACATTCTCCTGTAATCTCTGCCCTGCACGCAGTTGGGATTGCAACGGGCAGGAGCTTCCATCCGCAGCATTGAATTTTAGGGCTCTTCACTATCCGAATGTACTAATATTTTCTTTAAAAAAAACTTTTAGAATCTTTGTCTGAATAATTGTGGCCTTTTTCAATTCAAAACACAAATATATCAACCTTTTTACTTTGAGCATGCACATGAAATTTTACTTCATCCAAAACTGACTGCAATGGGACTAGTGACCATATACTTTCCGTTGCTCCATATCAGCTTCCCGAAAACATCATTATTAATGTTTGAGTCGTCCTCCACTCTAAATATCACCTGGAATGCTTTCGTCTCGCCCTTGTGCTCGAACCGCAGCACCGATGGATGAACCGACACCGACACACTCTCCGGTGCCTCAATAGATGCCGTATAGTTTGTCGCATCATCGTCCACGTTCGTCACTCGCCTGTGCACGACTTTGCTGCGGCTCAAATTGGAGATGGCAATGGATGGATAGTTGAGGTCTGTGGGATTGTCAGGACACTTAGCGGAAGTTTGCGTGAGGATCTGAAGTTCAGTCTGGTTGTATCCCAGACTGCAGAGATATCCAATGTAGTCTTGCTCATCGGCATCATATACTAGGCCAGGATGTGCAGCGGCATTTGGATTTACATGCCCTCCACCAAAATCAAAGGGTGATGCGGGAGCTAGTGATGAATTCTTGATTGATTCACTAAGATTATCAAACCAGTAACCTGTTTAGGAATAATATGTATATAACTTTTTTTCAAGTTGTAAATTACCTGTTGTTACTATGGCTGATTTGATTGCAGCTGGACTCCAGGTTGGACGATAGGACTTTAGTAGCGCAACAATCCCACTTACATGAGGGCAAGACATAGAGGTTCCAGAAACAAGTTTATATGGTACTTTAGAGTTATTGAATTGTGTGTACGCTGCTAAAATGTGTACTCCTGGAGCTGTAATATCAGGCTGAAAGAACAAAAGTCTCAAAACAACTAACAAAATAACAATAAAAATATACCTTGAGTATGTCTGCATCAACCAGGTTGGGACCAGAGGATGAAAATGCTGCCATGAGAGGAGCAGGCTTTTGATTTGTCAATGAAATCTGATGTTGTATCTGCGCTACAGGAAACCTAGCACGCACAAAAGGCTAAATAAAATACAAAACATAAACATTTTTACCTTGTAGAATTTATATATGAAAAGATGGCTTCTCCAGCTTTTTCATCAACATAAACTGAAGGAAGAAACTCATTTCCAGTATCTTGATCAACTTGAGTCGAGTTGCAAAAGATAATCCCAGCTCCACCAGCACTAAAAACTTCTAAAGATTGGAACGCTGGATGCATCCGCCCTCTCAAACATGCCACAATCTTTCCTTGGACTTTCTTGGGATCCAAAGACCCACTCAAGCACAATTGCCTAATAATATCATCTTAATTCGTAGCATTAAGGATGATTGTTTTACCTGGCTGAAAAGCTGGAGGTTGGCAAACCAACATTGGCACCCGCAGCAAGATGATACCACCTCTTTCTTAATCTTTTCTCCGTGAAACTAAAACCCTGGAAACCATTTCAAATTAGAATTAAAATTCACACTAATACCCGAAATGATTCATTGTTGCCAAGGAAAAGGTCTCCAAAGTAGGCTCGATCAAGAGTGCTCGCTCCAACAGTAATGATCCAGGGTGCTCCATTTTCCACTGAGCCAGGTCCCAGAGTTTGTTGACTGTTTCCAGCGGAAGCCACCACCACAATGCCTTTCTGCATGGCATGGAACGCTCCAATGAACGTAGAATCAAGGAAGTAATCACCCACTGGACCCCCGAAAGACGCAGAAATGATATCCACACCATCGTGGATTCCCATATCAAATGCACTGAGAACGTGAGCGTCTGGGCAGCCGACCCTGTCATCCGTGATGTTTCTCCAGCATATCTTGTAGATTGCGAGATGTGCGTCTGGAGCGCCACCTTTTGCAGTGCCTTTTGCGTAGCCAAGCCAGTTTGCGTTTCTCACGAATCGGCCTCCGGCAGTGGAAGCCGTGTGAGTTCCATGGCCATTAACATCTCTTGGAGAAAGAATTTCTCGGTGTGCTTTTGCATAAGCCTCGGGACCATCCTGTAGGCCGTGAGAAAAGAATCTGGCACCGATAAGTTTCCTGAAAGATAAAAAATTAACGAGTTAGCATGTAGCTAGAATTTGTGATTTCTTATATTTTACTTGTTGCAGTGAGAAGCGTTAAATTTCTCTCCAGTTTCGCATGTTCCTTTCCATCTTTTGGGGATTGATTTCATGCCGTGATCCAAAAAACTCTTGGACTCGGGCCACACTCCTGAAAAAACCAATATTATTACAAATAAGAAAAGAAGGAAGAGGGATTTACCTGAATCAAAGACACCGATAATAACGTCTTTGCCATATTTTGTGTTGTGCCATAGCCAAGATGATTCAGTAGATTCGCTAGCACCAAACAAGGAGTTCTCTCCACTTCCATAGAGGCCGAGAAACTCCCATGAGTTTGTGGTGTGGATCTTGCGGATTTTATTGGGAAAGATGGACAACACATTTGGAAGGCCTGCAATTTTGGGAAGAAAAAAAGAAGAAAGAAGGATAGACTTTGGAATAAATTTATGTTTACTGGAAATTTTAGCAGCTTGTTCTTCTGTTAGTCGAGCTGAGAAGCCACTGAATCCATGCCTGTAGCTAAAACCCAGTGATTCTCTAGCAGCCTCGTCACTGGTATAAACGAATTTGGATGAAGTTTTCTTTTATGATCAAAGTTTTACCTTCCTAGAATATCCCGAAGGAGTGCGTGATGAGAGCTAGTAACAGCTTCTGGATGGAGGGATTTATCGACATTCCCCAAATAGACAATGTGAGTGTCTCCGTGATCTCGTCCCTGGAAATTCAAAGCCATGGGCTAACACTACGAACACAGAAGAAAGGCTTAAAACCTGAGAGATTGAAATGGCAGTTAAACTCAGAAGAAAGTATACAATGATGGAGTGCGCCATGAAACCTTTAAAGTAGTGTGTTGTCATTTATATTAGAGATGCCGAATGAATGTGTGTAATGCTGACGCAAAGCTCATACTGGGTCACCTTTTCTTATTCTACGATGAGATGAAATACGATTAATTCAGAGGAAATTGTCAAGAACATTGCATTTATCCAAAGGTCGTCAAAGTGGACAAAAATGATTGACTCCTGTGCTACAGATCTTTTCATGAAATATTATTAAGATCATGCAAAAGGTTTAAAGAGTGGTTTCAAGCTTGTGATAGGATACTTTCCATTGCTCACCATAGTTAAATGGAGTTGCAAGAGCTAAGGATGAACTCTTGATCTGTTCTTTCTCAGTAATTGGTGTGTCTTATGAAAGAAGAGATTTCATCTATAATTTACTGATCTAGATAGGACAGGTAATACAATAATCATAATAATTATGTCTAATTACTTTGTAAACTGAACTAATATAATTTGTCAACTTGTGCAGACTGACTTCATCTCAAATAAGACTTTCGAGAAAATAATTTTTTGCCATGTGAACAAAGAAAGATTAGATATTTACAGCTGTCTTGGACTGGTAAGTACCCTGAACCTGTCCTCTTAAGCTCATTTGTTAATGAGGATTTGTCGAAAGGAACAGGAAGCTTGACTAATTTCAAGGTCCCTTGCTACAAGGATTAATGCAAGCACTTAAAAGATGATAATGCTACTACTAAAGATACTCATAAAGCCTTAAAAACTCAAAATAATATGCCAATATAAATAATTTGCTGCATGCATCAACAATTGGTTCGCTTTAGAATTTTATATCTAAATTAGTGGATATATTTAAAATATTCTTAGATATCATTTTAGGATATGAATATATCTAATATTCTAGAATAATAAATCCATATTTACTAATAAATAGAAAATTTGTTACACTAGTGACATGAATCCTAGAGAATTTCCTTGTATACAATATTTTTCATGTAAACATTATGGTTTTGAAGCACACCTTGCACATTTTTTGATGGATATTATCATTTATTTCTTTGATGTTTCTTTAGAAAGTGCAAGTGTGGCTGAAAATCTTGGTAACTATACACCTACATTTTGTAGTGTTTGATTTGAAATTTTTTATAGAGAATACAAACCTTATAGAGAATTATTGTTGTTTAAGGATGAAGGTATGTCTATGTTAGTTGGGTTTAAGGAGATTCTTGGTAGAAGGACTTTTTTTCCCTTGCATACTATTAGAATTTTAACTTCTATAATATTTGGTAGTACTTTAGTTATAATTAGTTCACAAAGGCTTTTTTTGGTGTCAATATTGTATAACAACATTATGATACTTTTTCTTTTCTCCTATGGAGGCATTCCAAATGGTGTTACTAAGTTTAAGAACTCAATAAGATGCTCTCAAATACATTTCTATGATGTCTACTTCTATATATTATTCTTTTGCCAGTTATTCTCCAACGGACTTAATCATTCACTTTTACAGAGAGATTATTTAAAGTCGTGAAAATAACTTTTTGCAATAGGTTAATGTACATGTTTTTCAAACATATTATCTGTTAGAGGTAATTTTATAACTTCTTGGTTTAATCTTTATAAGCCAGGTAAGTTACCATCTTTAAACCTCACAAGCCATCTAAACCAGTATTTTTCTTTAGAGTTCATCCCTTATGTTTGTGTGTAATGAGAACTTTAAAAGTTTCTACCATATTAGTGAGGATTTGATATTGTTTTCGACAATTTATGTGCAACAAGCCTCTTTTAGAACAAGTAACATCTATCTAAAATCTCCCTCTATTACTAATGTAATGCCCCCAAAATCTATTTCACAATTTCTTATGTCATCCATGACCCTTTCGACAACTTTAAAAGCTTGAATAGGTATTATGCTTATCTTGTCCCATATAAGCCTCCTTATGACCTTGGCAAGAGTTGAATGTTCTTGCAGGTTCAAGGTGCATGTTTCTGTAATTGGTACCAGTAGTGTAAATGCTGAATGAGTTATTTAGCCTACTATAAAAGGAGTACTCACTATTTCTGTCCACGTGGCCAAGCTATGACATATTTTATTAGTGTGTTAAAAGGGTATAGTTTCTTTGTGCCTCTGACTCCATCAACAAAGAATAACTTGTTTATTTCTTTTTTTTTTATATTGCATTCAAGACATTGTTAAATATGTGAAGTTGTTTTATATCCATTTTGGTTTCAGTAATTCATCTTCATCAAGCGTGTATAGCTTGCAACTTGTTCTAGTTAATGTTTTGTTGTCTCTAATGAATTTAGACTGGTAACTTGTAATTAGAAAGTTTCTTGCCATGTTCTTGAAGTACTATCAACATTTCATGCAATCCATATTATATTTCTCTTTCATAGTTATTGTGAATTTGGTCTTTACACATGCCTTGAATTTATACCATAGTTTGTTAGATGATGTGAGCACTCATGCCTATCAATTGCTAGGAGAAGGGCATCAAACCCCTAAGGACTTAATTGGATCTAGCTTATAATGTGGTAGCTCTTAGCCTTCAACAAACTTCTTCCTTCTCCTTGCTTCTTCTGCCCTTTCTCTATCGATCCTCTCCAGTTACTTCCATCGCTGAGAGTCTCATGCCTCATATGAGAAGCATGGTGTGGTGAGAGAACTTCTTCCAAATATGGTGATAAGACTTTTTTCTTTCTTCCAATTTTGCAAGAGTTGAGACAAACCAATTGTATAATTTGCTAATAAACAACCTCTTTTGAGTGATATTTGTAGAGTGTAAGTTTTGTAAATGATGCACAAGTGAAAATAATTATGAGAAAAGCTATAGTTCTTTGATAGAATGAAAAACAAGACGGGGTATTATTGAGAAGTAGCTCTGCTGGGTGGAATCCATTGGATGTGTGCAATGAATGTTTGAGACTGGCTATGAGTGGCCTTGGAAATGTGGAGTGTTCAACAGTAGTGATTACTTGCATTTAAGCATGACACAGATGGAACATTAAAATAGATTCTTAAAGATAACATTTTTAAAAAGTGTTAGGGTTCTTAAGTAGAGTAAGTCAAATTTGTTTTAGTAAAGCTTTTGCGCCTTCTTGGAAGTGGAGCTGGAGTTCGAATACTACCACAAGTAGATCCTGGTGCGGTGCCGTCCGCTAGCACCACCATCTGAGAGCAAGGCAGCTGCAGCGGTGGCTCCTTCTCAGCTGAGCCAATAGCCTGCGCTCCTCCTCGGCGGTCATTGGGCTCAAGTCGCCTTCCCAAACTTCCACTCTCTCGTCTTCCTTCTCTTCTTTCTCTTCGTCCTCGTCCAATGGTCGAACTTTCCCTTTGAGAAACTCTTCCAGCGAGGATTTCTTGGAAGAAGATTTCTCACGCTGCAAAGTTTCCTTTGCTCCCAGATTGGATGACAAATCTTTCTTCTTCTCTAGCACAGCCACGCTGTATCCGGCAGCATACTCCTCTAGCAGAGGCAACGCAGCCGTCGTATATGCAGCGACATCGTCCTCCACATTCTTCTTCCTGGATTTGTTCTTGGATGCCAAAACAATGGCGCTAGACCCTGCGCAACGGGCAGGAGCTTCCATCCGCATTGAATTTTAGGGCTCTTCACTATCCAAATGTACGAGTGTTAGTAACAGCTTCTGGATGAAGGGATTTATCGACATTCCCCAAATAGACAATGAGTGCTCCGTGATGTCGTCCCTGGAAATTCAAAGCCATGGGCTAACACTACGAACACAGAAGAAAGGCTTAAAACCTGAGAGATTGAAATGGCAGTTAAACTCAGAAGAAAGTATAGAATGATGGAGAGCACCATGAACCTTTGAAGTAGTGTGTTGTCATTTATATTAGAGACGCCACATGAATGTGTGTGATGCTGACGCGAAACTCATACCGGGTCACCTTTTTTTTATTCTACGATCTTGACCAATTCCGAGAAGAAGTCCACACTACGCAAAAGTTGCCTAATCCCGGCTCCTACTCGTCCTGTTCCACATCTTCTGAGCTCAGGCTCAATTGTTTAAGCTCCACATCGACTGGAAAGAAGGAAACGTGTATGATCAAGACAGGAAGAACAAAAATAGCAGAGAACAAATCATCAAGCTTCAGAGGAGTCTTGCTCCTCGCAGACTTAAAAACAGAATTTCCACGCGGATTCTCTATACTCCTCTATACGCAGCAACATCGTCCTCCACATTCTTTGGATGCAAAAACAATGGTGCTAGGTGATGCGCGGCCAGTCTTTCTGGCTCGCATTCTCTCTGCCTTGCAGCATACCTGGAGGGAGTGCAAGAAAGAGGAATGCAGCAATTGTATTTTAGAGATGGTAATCAGCTGTACAATTGCTAAATGTGTTTACTTTGTATTGTTTAAAGGCGGGCCATGCCTTCGTCTTGTATTAAAGAACATCAAGGGTGGTTTTAAACATATTTTCTCCTTGCATTACTATTTTTTTTAGTAGCATTTGCGATAATTTTAAGGTGCTCATTGACTGGCACTCTCCAAATTTTTTTCGAACGATTGGAAAAAAGTAGTGCCACTGCAAGTTGGCAATTTGTTCCTTCAGCTTCTCTTTTTTCATAACTTTGTTCTGCAACCTACAAACAAAAGTTTGTATCGTGACAAAGAATGGAAAACAGTAATCATAAGCTTTAAAAAAAATAGAAAGAGAATAGTAATGTGATCTCCCATGTTAAGTCATACCAATGCAGAGATGTAGTGGTAGTTTTTGAATGCTTCTATTTCATCCCAGTCTATTACTTATTCGGGTGTTGAGTTCTCATCCCTTCGTTCTCACTTTAGTACTCACATCACACATTGCCCAAAAACATGAGTCTCTCCTAAGCAAACTTGTTATAATTTATAACAAAGTTTATAAATTATAAATGCAATGGTAAAGTATCCCATAATTTTTAAGCATATTTGAGTTGCTATAAAAATTGGCCTATTAAAAAAGTCTTTTATAAACATTCTAGAGATCAAATCATATGCTAGCTACAGTAAAAATTAAATTGATTGATAATTGCATAATAAGCTTCATATGTTACATATATTGATAGCTATCTTCAGTTCCTACTATGCTTTAAAAGAATCATGTTGGAACATGTACGTGCAAACTATACATATAACCATTGTTGAAAAACCATTTTCACCTAGTTTCATTTATTCGAACCAGTTACAAGAAAAACCATATAGAAAACAATATTCACAGGCATGTGAGCATTCATGCTAGTCAATCGCTAGGAGAATGACATCATCAACCCCCCAAGGACTCAGTTGGATCTAGCTTATAATGCAACAGCTCTCATCCACACAGAGCTTTCAACAAACCTCTTCCTTCTCCTCCTCACTACTTCTAGCCTTTCTCTTCCTCCCCTTCAGCATGTTGCCAAGTTTGCATCTCACCAGCTGGAAGCTGGATTCTCTCTAGCTACTTCCATCACTGACAGTCTCATGCCTCATATGAGTGGTGAGAGAAGTTTTCCCAAATAAGGTGATAGGAACTTTTTTTCTTTCTTCCAATTTTGCAGGAGTTGAGACAAACCAACTATGTAACTACTATGGTAAATAACCTCTTGCGAGTGAGATTTGTAGAGTGTAAGTTTTGTAAATGATGCACAGCTGAAAATAATTATAAGAAAAGCTACCATTTTTTGATACCCCTGGCAGCAGTCAGGTGGATTCCTTTTGTGTTGGTTAATCTTGTCCTGGTTGTTCGGTCTTGCCTCTGCTGCTGCCACTGCCACTGGGAGAGGAACAGGGACGAAGTATTCATCTACAATGCCACTGCAACTTCTGATCATTATTGAGAGTGCAACAAGGTTATGAACTACACCTCTAAGAGAGAGGTCTCCAAGGAAAGGACTACACACAAAAGCGAGAAGCAAGGAATTTGCAATGGATTAATGAGAAAGGACTACACAGAAAAGCGAGAAGCAAGGCCTCTATATGTCTCCCAAAGGGACTACTACACAGAGAAGAGAGAAGCAAAGCCGCAACATATATCTCAACAGAAAGGACTGCACAGAGTCGAGAGAAGCAAGCCG